GCCTTCTTCATCCTCTCAAAAATTCCCAAATGTTCTCTACCGTCTACCGGTGACCCTTAATGACGGTCGATGTACCTTTAGACAATGCACACGTAAATATTCCATCGTGATCTTGGAAGCGTGCTGGGCCCATAACCTGATAGGAATTTGCTTCACCAGCACACAAAAATGATAAAATAAATAATGTTTGTTATTTATTCACATTTAGATTTATATTAATACAAGTATATATAAAAAATAAGGTATTATATTTTCACTATACATAACATGTTCTTTTCTCTATTTTCTAACAACTAACTGAACATCGAACATATGTCATTATTTAAATTATCCTAGACAGCCAGTCTTACACTGTAACCAATACATACAGCAGGTTTCATTTACAACAAGAACAAACACTTGTGCGATTTCTTTATTGTTGTCTTAATTTTCCCCAAAACAAAACCCGAATAACAATTAAAAGGCAGTACTCAACGTACTTTTCACGTTTTGGCAGTGGAAACTCACTTGCTATTTCCTGTCATTCTCAGAGATCTTTAGTGATTACTTAAGCAGTTACTAAGACAATAATGTACATTTTTAATATTACTTCGAAAACATTTATCAAATGTTTTTTCATCGAACTTTCTCTGACAATTACTATATCAGTTGTTAAGCAAAATTATAACAAGCTCCATCTACTGTTATAAAATAAACTAAACGATTTAAAAAAAAATTAATAGATGACGCCAGTGAGATTCTGTGAAAAATATTTCTACGGAAGCGTTAACTAATGTCTTTTAGCGCCATCTCTTATCATTTTAATGTAACAGTAAGATATTACTGTCATCTCCCTTTTTGAATATCACTGGAGCGATAAGAGATGGCGCTTTAGGAAGTTGTATGTCATCACGTAGTTCTATTAAAAACAACTAGAGGTCGGTAAGCGAAGTGGTGTGTAATATTTTTTTTAATTAATCAATAATATTATATAAAAATTTACTTTTGCATTTTTACTTAATTAACTGTATTAACTTTTGACTTATCAACTAGCTTTTACTTGCAAATTATAAAGTGAGAAATTGAAAAGAATGTATCCCACTCCTGCAGACATTGAGTATCTTCTATCAAAGATGTTAAAAAAATGTAAAGAGTAAGCATAGTTGACACTTCACTATTTTTTTACATAATTATCACTAACGCCATCTACATAAAACTTCTACAACAAGGTAATATTTGTATTTTATTTTGACAGTTTACCTACTTTATAAAAGATGGCGCTTATTATAATTGTATAAAGTGTCATTACAAGAACATGAGGTGGCGTAATAAACTTCAACTGATACATTACCGGTCAAAGAAATTACCAGTGTTCACTATGTCTAGTCAATTTATTAAATGTCTTTTTAATAAACGGAACAAATGCGAAGTTGCGGTCAGACAAAAACTCGGTTCCTTATCATAACCTAGAAACATCATGTGTTCGAAATATAATTATTTTGATATTCCAAACGCCTTTTTGTCAACTATATAGAGGATAATGGTTAGAAATAAAACACGAATGACATTTTTTAATTTTTATTCACACTACTTTTTTTTACTTTTTTATTTTTTTTTTATTACTGTTACATCAAGATATCGAAAAATCTTAACTAATGAGAACATGAGACTTGAAACAAACATATTATCCGACAGGAAATTAAGTAAATAAGTACATATTTTGTTAAGCTCGCTGAGCTTTTAAAAGGAAACAGTGTTTAAAGTCTCTGACTTTTTTCTTATACATTTTTGAAGTAGAAAATAATCTAAAACATTAAATATACAAACTATTGTATAGTGTATATGTTCTACAATCCATAATCCATCGGAAAAGTGTCGCTCAAAGTTAAAACATAAAAATAATTTTGAATTCATGCTCTCATACCTATCCTATATTAAGAAAATTACCTCTAATTCCGTAACTCTAAAGAATGCGTTAAATATTCACTACGGTATTGTTGCTATCCAACAAAACAACTCATATAAAAAAAAAAACTTTAAAACTCAAAAAACCAAAAACGCGGTTCTCTCAATATTGCAAAACCAGAAAAAACCTAATTGTTTTCAAGAGACATATAAATTTTAATATCTTTAAATAACCGCGTGTTAAAAAATAAAAGATAGCGTGAAATCCCAAAACTTAATTAACAACATCTGCCACCAAGGTTTTTTACCCAAAAGAATTTCCCCAAAATAATATTAAAAAAAAAACACAAAAACAAAAGACCAATTTTAAGATAAAACTGTACTACATACTAATGATTACAGACACCAATGTCATATTTTCTTATACTAAAGGAGAAAGAGCAATAGGAAACAAAAGCAAAAATCCTAACATCACGTTAAACGCTATTTTTCATACTGTTCCGTTGAGGCCACCGGGTACATCGGTGACCGACAAGAAGTGTGTTTGGGCCAATGGGGTCATGGTAATCGCGAGTTACGTATGAACTGCTTGATTTTGATGGCAGTTACCGTTTAAGCCAAAATTCGTGTACAATATAACCGGCTTGACTCTAGAGAACACAATGTTCGCATTGGTCTGTGAAAACACGAAGTTGAGTATAAAAACTCAGGAAATTATTGTAGTGAGTAGGTGAAACACAATTTATTATTATAGTTCTATCAAATAAGAACATATAACAATGTTTTGAATTTTTGGCAAAATATAAAATTTGATTTGGTCCGTGCGCAAAATCTAGTGCCGGCATTTGGTGTCCCCTAAGGCGTTTAACGTGTTAAGTAAATTAGTAAACATTTAAGTTTGAGTTTGAGTTTGAGTTAAGCTCGCTGAGCCTTAAAAAGAAAATAATGTTTATAAAGTCCCTGGCTGTTTTTTCTTATACATTTTTTTTAAAATTGGAAGGAAATATTCTCAATAAATATTCATGCTATTGTATAGTGTATATGTTCTAAAATCCATAATTCATCGAATGTTTTTAAAGTGTCGCTCAAAGTTAAAACATAAAAATAATATTGAATTGATGCTCCCTAATCTATATTAAGAAAATTACCTCTAATTCCTTAACTCTAAAGAATGCGTTAAATATTCACTACGATATACGACTGTTTCAATCGAAATTAAATAAAAAAAAAACTTTAAAACTCAAGAAACCAAAAACGCGGTTCTCTCAATATTACAAAACCAGAAAAAACCATATTGTTTGCAAGAAACATACCAAATTTATTTAATATTCGTGTGTAAAATAAGACAGCGTAAAATCCTAAAAGTTAATTAACAACATCTGCCACCATACTCATACAAAAAAAAAGAATTTCCCCAAAATAATATTAAAAACACAAAAACAAAAACTAAGGTGAAACTGTACTACATACTAATGATTACAGACACCAATATCATATTATCTTATATTAAAGGAAAAAGAGCAAAAGGAGGGTAACACAGAAGCAAGGGGGCGCATGGAAATGAGAAAAATCCCTAATAAGCCTAATTTGCGTAGGAAATAAGCACTTAATACATAGATATATATGGTAGATAAACAAAGGCTCTACAGAGCCATCTAAGTCAAAATCCTGACGTTGTCTGCACTATTTGACTGCAAAGTACGTAGTCCAGCATCTGTCGCTTTCACACTTACTAAGCTATAGATTAGGAAACGAAACGCCAATATCAATGCATACATGAGGCATGCATGTCCAAAACGACTTAATCCATTCTAAAGAGTTCATGATCATTTCCATTAAAGTCGATTTCACAAAACGGGGGGACGAAGAATGTCGACAGCCGACCTTATCGTTTAATTCATAACACTGATTAGTATGAAAACCGTAAATATACAACTACATTGAGTAAGAATGCTGAAAAAACCTTGTTAATCAGAGAGACTAAATTGACGGATGGACATGTCAAATGTAAGCTTTTCACGCAACATGTGTTTTAAATCGAGGCTGCATGAAAACTAGTTGTCGCGTTTGTGTGCCTCGTGTGCGAGCGAGAGGACGAAACACGCGACAGATTTTGACATAATCACGTAATACATTTAGACAACCAATTTGTGTTTTGTACCCATTATACTGGTTTAAATAACAACTTTTATATTTATTAGACATGCATACCGAATAACAGTACTGAAATTTATCATTTTACTGAAATTTGAAGATTTGGGTCATATATTAAGAGGCTAGGCATATGACTAAAGTGACTGACTATCCACGAAATATCATTTTTGTCTCTCTGATGAAAAAATACACATGTTAGTTTCGCAATAAATATTAAAAACACATAAAACGTATAAAACATAATTCTGACACCCCCCTTACAAACTACCCGCGTCTTATTTTATTTTTTCTGACCAGTTATTTCGAACAAAAATTTTAAAAACCACTTTTTTCTAAAAATTGAACGTAAAGCAATAATTTACTTGTTTGTTACACTATACATGGTGTTTTCAAAACTGAGATCGTCCGTTAATCACGTGATAGCAATACCCCATAAAGTCACGCGTAATTTGTTAGTGCATAAAATATGACAATTTCCAAGATTTCATTATTTTTATTAATTAAATAAATTAAATCATTACTCAGTTGTTCAAAAAAAGGCGTTATTTTTGTAGTAACTCTTAAAACAAGTGTAGTATTATGATAGCCCCAGCCCCTCGGTATATTTCATGATTTTTTTCATAATAAACGATCTCATATTTGAAACAAATTATTAATTTATATAGTATAATGTCTCACGAAAGTTTTAATAAGTTATTCCAAACTTCATATATGTACAATTACTTCAAACTATACCCCGTAAAACGTGAATTTTGTTTTTTAAAACAATAATTGAAATTGCTCTGCACTATAGCTTTTAGCCCATTCTTTACCCTTTACTTTAAATCAGCCTTAAGCGTATCAAACCCTTTTTACACCTTCCTAAAAAGTGGACTAAAAGTAATGTTTACTTTCATTGTATAATTATTAGAATTATACAATGAAAAAATTATAAACATTTATTTAGGGTTGTGTCAGACATACCATTAAAATTAATTATATCTACATGCGTAAGTTTAAGAAAAAAACATATTAAACATTAGTCGTTTAGTTTACTATGGAAACAGTGTGGAGTAAAAGCTCTTTAAAAGTTCGATGCAAACTTCAAAAATCACGATTAAGATCTCTACAAAGCTATAAATATGTTGCACATCTACGGAAGTTTGCATCGAAACCTTTTCTTCATATTAGTTGAGCAAAGAAAACTGCAACTTAGTCGCATTTTTCTTTCATTCCTCACGTACGGCAAGATTACTAAAATATATCGAAACTAAAAGAAAAAAAAACTCACAAAACAAAGTAATTATAACCTGACCAGGATTATAGAAAGGGGGCAACAATTCTCTTCGATGTTGCACATCGATCAATGCATTAAAACTTTAAAAGAACTGATAATTAAAAAAAAAAAACAGTATTTAAGACTTATTCTCAAGTTCAATGCTGGGATAAATTTCAACTCAGAAGTACATACTGTTCTGTATTTTAAAACCTGAAATTAAAAACTTAAAAATTGGCAACACTTTTTCTACTTTAGTTAGTTTATTTTAGTTCAAAGAGCGCGTTTTCTATGTTCCTAATCAGGTTATAAGGTTTCCGTACTAAAATCGATGGTATCCGTGTTAATATCTATCGTGTGGGTGCCATTCTTTTGAGCGATCATTCGTCCGTTTCGCATTCGCTGTACCGATTAGCATCTTGCTCGCTGCGCCTTCGTTCTCTCCGGGCTGTTTTGAAATATAAGTATGCATTATTAAATAGCGAAAGCTATCGCCCGCGACTCCGCGGAATTAAAAAAAAATATAAATTAGTACCCTATGTGTTCTTCCAGACTATAATCTACGTCTATGCCAAATTTCATCGCGATCCTTTCAGCAGTTTAGGTTACAAACTCTAACAAACATCCATCCATCGCATTTTTAATATTAGTAAGAAGTATGATAATGACACAAGTAATCTAATAACCGGGTAACCGACGTCAGTCACGAAGCTGCAGGAAATACAATACTAATTGTTGCTCGCGACTTCGTCCGCGTGAAGTTAAACAATAATAAAACTCTACGTTACTCAGTGATAACGTAGCTTTTAAATGGTGAAAAACTCTTTGAAATCTGTCCAGTAGTTTTTGAGTTATTGCAATACATACAGGAATCCAAAAATACAAATCTTATATTAGTATAGATAACAATGGCTGAAACTTTCTACTTCCTTTACGTCCAATGGAGAGCTATTTGTACAATAACCATTACCTTCAATATATCAGTGAACATAGAATTAACAAACTAAGCTTAAAACGTAAAAAAAAAAAAATAGAAAAAATGACTCACCTTGAATGTAAAAATCTAGCCGTGTTTGCGTAGAGATCAGGGGGGGACGCATCAAAGATAGCAGAATGCGCGCGCGCAAGTTGCCGGATCTGGTGCCTGAATGCGGCGCGGATGATTGGGGCGTCTCCCTCACTGACTCGGCCAGATACCTCGTTGAAGGTTGCTATTCACATAAACATATACAATATACAAATTTAATACACGATGGTTATTGAGCATGATGTATAGCGTCGCACAGATATGAATTGCTTACAGAATTAAATGAATAAGTATTAAAAACTATGAGGTATTTAGAAGTTGTCTTGATAACTTAGGGTAAGCTCTGACCCCTTTAATGGGGACGTATCATGAGGTGGTGATTTTTAAAGATAATAAAGGAGAGTGAGTTAAAGGGATCCTGTAGGGAGAATTATAATGTAATTGGAAAGCTTGTTAAAATGTGATGTAATGTTCAAATATCCAATTACAGACAAGAAAGCTGATGTAATATAAAACAGATTACCACTAATGAAGCCATCGAGATCTGTCGGTGGACGCGAACGTCTGATGCATCTTCGTTTGCGCGACGGCATTCCGCTAAGGTAAGCATTGCTAAATGGCGGCTGATCGCTGTGCAGGACGGATTGGTCGCTCGAGAGAACTGGCACCCACTCCTCGTCCCAATGCTGAATAATCAGTACCGGCGGGACTTTCTCCTGCATGCAAAAAACACTTATTTAGAAGACGTACTGAAAATTTGTATGACTTACAAACGCCTCAGCTTGCAATACTACAAGTGTTCGGGGAACAGGTTTGTCCGGAAATGTTCATTTAGCAAATAGTTTGGATTATTTGTAAATTTGCTACTGGCGCTTGCTAAAATATTACAAGCTGTAGCTCGCGAATGCGCCTGCATGAATTAAAAAAAAATAAAAAAAATGCGGAATATGTTACTCATTCTCTCACTTCAAAAATTCTTTCAACAAAAAATGCTACGTTATCATTATTGATAACGTAGCATTTTTTGTTGAAAGAATTTTTGAAATCGGCCATACTAAAATACAAATCTTTCCTCTTTACAATACGATGTTTATGTTTTTGGACACCCTGTTAATATTTTAACAATGGTCTACTAAACTACAAAATAATTTACACAATGTATTATGTAGTTTTATTGAATCAAATCCATGGTTTACATATGAATAAATATATTAAAGACATTTCGAGATCTTTGACGAATCGTCTTTTTATGAACGATGAAACCCTCAAGCGCCCAATCTACGCAACTTTGGGACAGAGGTGAATTGGTTAGAATCGTCGTAATTTTGACCAAAGAATCTGTGGTCTTACGTTGTACTAGTCTTTTCGGGACCCTGTATAATCGCACAGCAACCACCCAACAATGAAGTGATCATACACTTAACATTAGGCTTAAGAGCCAATTATATTTTTTTAGTATTTAAACGCTTCAATTACCGCTACTGGTAATATTTTAAAACATATTAAAATCTCCTAGTGACATATTACTTTAAAAAGATTAATAAATTCCAATTTGCCCCAAAGTACTGAAGCGTGAAGACGATACAAAAAGTCTTATAGCGGATTCGTTCAAGCTATAGCTTCACATATAACGTTTATAGCAATATCAAAAAGCTTATTGGGCCAAATAGCATTAAAAATAACAAGTTTCATACTTTATTAGTTAAATTTTTCACACTCATTTAGCACCCTACTACATTTAAAACAATATTAATCTATCAAGACCTTAGAACTAGAAATCAGTATGCAACATATTGGAGGAATCTTGGAATTCTTCCTACGTAGAGTAGGGCTACATTTATCGCAGACCGGGGTTGCGGACATAAGCGAAAGCGTGCCCGTGCCCCGGTCGAAGGCGTTGGAGGAACCGAGGGGTTTAGTGGGTATGCCCCCCATTATGGGGGGAGAATCCCACATAACTACCGCGTCCCCGCTGGACGCGGAGTATGCGTAAGATGCTGTCCACTCGGGTAAAAAAGGGTAATTTTGTTAAATATTTGAACATTAATACCTTCCTACCTAATGTATCTGTTTCACTAAACTTAAATTTCTTGCTTATTTCTAAAACCAAAAGTTGAAACACTTTTGGACTTACGTATTTAATAATTACTTGGCACAACACAGCTTGTTTTGTACACTCCAAAATACAAATTGTGAAATGGCTCCTAAATTAACAATTAGATTACTCAAAAAGCTACAACATTCGAACAAAGCAATCGTTAATAACGTTACACCGTAAACAAGATTCTGAATATAATCCTAGGATTCCTGGACGTCCTGAAAGCGGTAAAAAACAAACAGCCTAAACTAACAAGTTGCAAATTAAACACATCTAAGACTACAAATAACACTACTATGGCTATAAATACTAAAACTGAGGAATACTTACCATAATCTTATTAAATAAATTTGAACAACTTTTAATCACTATTTTTAACAAACATTCGCGCCGCTTTTAAAATTACAGATAAAAAAATTAGCTGTTAAATAAGGTACAGGGTGATGTAATAGCTAACAAGTCAAGATCTAAATATGTTACAACTAGCTTTCGCCCGCGACTCCGTCCGCGTGGAATTTAAAAAAAAACAAAAGTGAGTAGCCTATGTGTTCTTCCAGATTGTCCCCTACATCTATACAAAATTTCATCGAAATCCGTTCAACCGTTTAGGCTACAAACTCTAACAAACATACAAACATCCATCTATCCATTCATCCATCGAAACTTTCGCATTTATAAAATTAAGTATGAAGTATAACACAGGTGAAATCTATCTTTATCTACAAATCTTTTAAAACAAAGTCGCTTTTTGCATCCTCTGTTCTGCTAAGCCACGAAACAGTTTAAATTCCGTTTCGATCATAATCTAGAATTAAGGGGTAATTAGTAGACAAGAATAACTGTGTTACTAAACCCATTAAATTGCCTTTTTGCGTAGGAAATCCAAACCGTTGAGTTATATATGCTACAAATTACTATATTTTACGCACGTTATTTGTGACGTCATTTTTAATATAAACCCTTATTCAAAGAAATTTAATGTAGATTGAAATTGCCTTTTAAAATGTATAATTCTGGCAAATAGTTTAGAAGTCATCATCACAAAACAATAACTGAAAAATACAGCTGTTTTACAAGGTTCTTACTAACTGTAAGGAAGTCATCGGGAAGGACAGATATGATATCATCAACATCCACTTGCCCTTATCCCTTACGGAGGGTTGGCACAGTATGCGCTACTCTTCCATACATCTCTATATCCTCTTTCACACAATCCATCCATACTTTCTTCGGTCTTCCTCTACCTTGTAGCCATCTACATTCATTCTTAACACTTTCTGGTTTATGTCCCCATCGTTTCGTCGCATAACATGTCCATACCACGCTAACCTTTTGCTTTTCAATTTCTCAAATATAAGGACAGACATGACAGAAAGAGATAAACAATATATATAGGAATAAAGAACATTGTTCTTATTGGAAATCGGCCTAATATAGGCCTATAGGATGATAAGGGGGTTGTGCTTTCATCATTTTATTTTTAATTTCTCAATGCACAAAACATAAAACCAAGTTAATTTTTACTCAGATGTCCTTTCGTACTTATTTTTCGCAATAAAACCTGCGCAGATGTGAAGTATTAACATAATTTTGGAAACATTTCATACCTAGTTAAATATTGACAACGGTTGGCTGACGTAAATATTAATCTCTATGTCCCTTTGTCATCTCATACATGAAAAAATGAAGTTTTTTTAACTCGACGCATTTCTTATTTAAAATGTGAACTAAATTTTGTAACAAAACTGAACAAAATTAAAAACTCCCTTCATAAATAACCAACTATTCAAACCGCAGGCAGTTATAATGGTTTTAGTATCTACAAACTTCCTAAATGTCAGTAGGTTAAAAAAAATGTTAGTGCAAGGTTATTGTTAATTCCATTCTAATGTATTGTATATCTTATCTTACCGGTCTGTTCCTTTCGGGTTCTGAAGTACTTTGTGTTGTTTCCATTGGTCGAATCCTGGGATAAAAAATAAATTTTAATGTAAAAAAAAAACTATTAACTAAACATAATAAAGCAAGCGATACACGACTACTACACAGTATGATATTGCAAAATAAAAAAAAATCTTTAACATTCCACACAAAAAAAAATTGAAAAAAAAGCTCTTTATGATTGGATTTTTTTACGTAACATTTACTTTATTTCGACACTATTGAGTGTAGATACTCATGAGACATATTTTTTTACATGGGGTTAGTTAATTTCAGTGTTTATTACAAATCGCCTAAATATCAACACATGTATTCTAATTTTTTTTTAATTATTTACCGGATTATCTACTTTAAAGTTTCGATTATAAAGATTTATGTTTGCAGATCCTTTGTTTTTTTAATAAACATTTTTTATGATATACTCTTCCCCTTTTCGACAAAAGTGGGTTGGACTAGTGAAAAAGAGTTTAAAGCCAGCAAAACACACTTCACGTATCGTGCTCAGCACTAGCGTTCTTCGAAGCGTGACAACGTTATAGTCTAAGATACGAGTGACCCCTTCCTACCCTCATCGATTTTTTCCACAAACCCTAATTATTCTGAAAGTTCACAATTTTTTAATTCAATAGGGTTACTGAACATTTATTCTTTGAAGTGGAAATTTCCAGCCAAAACCACTCATGGAGTTTTTTACAAATTTCATCATCAATCGATAGTAACATAAATAATACCTTAAGTTAAATTTGCCTATCTATTTCCTGGCAAGAGTGAAGGTTGCACACTGTTTAAAACAGGTTAAAATACATGTGAACTTTATTAGAAAAAGTTTTATAAGGATGAGGGTAGGTCAACATCAGTTCCGTATCCGCGACTATGAGCAAAGCAGCTTACTTGCAATGCGAATGTTAAATGATATACTTGCGTACTTCGTTGTTCTCCATCGTCGTACTACTGGTATTGCGTATAAACACACTGTTTTTCGATATTAATGTTGCGGTGATGAATTTATCGTAATGAATCTACCGATGACCGGCTATAGATGATGGGCCCGCGTGACCACTAAGGCCTAGTTACCTCTAACTTAGAATAGGCACGAGCCTTTCGGAAATAATTACGAGCCGACGATAACCCTGTACAGTCAGCTGCATAAATATATATACATACTAGCTTATGGCCGCGACTCCATTCGCGTAAAATTTAAAAAAACAAGACTATCTGTTCTTCCAGACTATCCTCTACATGTACACTAAATTTCATCGAAATCCGTTTAGCCGTTTAGACAACAAACTCTAACAAACATCCATCCGTCCGACTAAACTTTCGCATTTAAAATATTAGTATAAGTATATACATATATACATATTATACGGAACTGTAGACAATTGTATAGACCATAGACATAGATATGCGTATGCGTTCATTAATAGCACGAATAAGTGACCGGAAGTTTACGGGTAGACATAGGCATATTTTGGAAATCTAAAGACTTTAAAGTTTCCAAAGCTTTGTTAATGTATAAATGTTATTGCAGCTGACTGTACCTATATGTTTCGATAAGTAAAATAGATATACATATAGCACGTTGTTTTTGTAAATTTTTCGAAAATGTACGTAACGAAATAAATAAAAAAATAAATCAAATAATAAACGGAACTTTGCCATATGGATATCCATAAGTTCTGCCTTCATCTTTGCGAGAAGTATGTAAGTTTATTATTTATACCTGTTTTGGTGATGAATTTTTAACATCACCTTTATGATATTGATGTTATATTTATTTTATTATGAACCATCACCGACGTAAATTATATCTAAATCTAACCGCCTAAATCTAAAAACGCCTGCACACGTTCACTGCCATAGACTCGACTGGCGTGTTCATTTGTTGTAAAGAAAGTCATCGTAGCATGTAACGTGTTAAATATTTTAAAACGGCAAATGTGCACATTTTATAAAAGCATGGTAAGCAAAGCTGTTAAAGGCAGTATAAAACTGAGGCAAATGATTTGAAACATCCAATGGCCGCCTAAAATGTTTCATTTTATTTATTGACGTCTATCCTTTGACTTTTTTTAACATTAAATAAAAAATATAGCATGACTAGGAGTATAAAAACCAAGTCATGAGGGCGCCTATGGTTTTTAATGTTGAAACTTTCGACATCAATAAGTCGAACGGACTGTCTACCCCTATCCTCACATCAGTAAAGGCTTAAATATATTTTACTCCGCCATCATAAATATAACAACAAGTCAAAATAATCAACACATTTTGTTCTCCAAGTACGACTTAGTAACGATTTTTATTACAATTCTTCTTACTGTGACACTTGTATTGGTACATAATTAACATCTGTTGGCCACCTCTGCCTTTCAAAGAGAATGTGAGGAATATAAGTGCCATTGTAGTTATAAGGCAGGACTTATTTTTTGTTCATGATATTTCGCTTTCAGTTACCATACTAGCCATTGCAGTGAATTGTTAGATATGAGACAAGCGGTGTGACGTTGTGTAAAGCTTCGCTATGGAGTTTTGCTGTTTAGTTGTGCTCTTATGTATTATGTATTATCCTTCTTAAAAAATGTAGCCTAGAAGCGAACGCGACAAGCATTTGCGACCTCATAATGCTGTGGTAATAATGTAACTTATTGTTTACTCTTAGAGAATCCTAGACAGATCAACAGCGTGTGGTGACCTTAATTGCTATCTCCGAAAAGTTGTCCAAAGTGTATGTTCAGTTTTCTTTACTTCTAAAGTTTATTCTTTAAATAAATGAAATAACAATGGAACTATAAAAATCGCGGAACATGATTTCGGCTTAAACGATAGCTGTTAAGGTCCTGAATATCCACAAAGCTCTTCATATCTTTTAAAAATCATCCTGTATATACAATTTTTATATTGATAATGTAAATATCAATAGTTACTGTAATCTATTATTTGAAAACTGCTGCTTAACATTTATGGGGTAAATTGGAACAACCCTAATATAATTGTAAAATTATTAGGACACCTAAAAAATTATTAGGAAACCTAAAACTATACATTTCGTAAAACTTTCAATAGTGAATGCCAAATTTCATATGCACGGATAACAAGGCTCTTGCTATTGGCTGAATAAATGAAGTAACCATGGCAACCACGATTCTTCGCTTCTATTGCCTTGTAGTTTTTATTCCTTACCCGCGTGACATTTTTTTTTAAATCTTCTAAATTAAATCGTGAAAACATTTGGCCTTTCGATTGTGGTAAGTTTAGGGAGTTTTTAGGAGTCGACATCCTACATAACAAAGAAGTTTGTGTACGCTTTATTATATTAGTATAGATAAAAATATACTTACCGGGACCGGCGGTGGCGGTGGCGTCCGGAGTGGCTAGGACCTGCCCGTTCTTGTACTGGAGGGGTTGGTTCTGGAGGAACCGCTTCAGAAACTGTTGAGCTAACAATATTCGCTTCTTGGGCCGTATCACGTCTTTGGGTACCAACGTTTATGTCAATCTCATTAATGTTGGAAGCAACATTATCAGAGTTCGCTGATAGGAAGTCTTCGTCATCGTTCTCTTGTTTAATTTCTTGGTAGCAGTCCTGTAAGTTGCTATAACTGCCTGTGGGACTCTCCTCTGTAGGGGTCGTTTGAGTTTCTATTTCGCGAGACGTACTCGCGCTCGTACCCACGGAAGTTGTCAATGGCACCTGGATCCTGGCCATATAATCTGCCATAGCGTTTATGAAGCTATCCGATATAGGTACAACGTTATTCAACTCTTCTTCGGTAATCATGAAATGAGAACAGGGTATTTGGATGTTAGCATCTAAATCGGACGCGGTCAGACGCTCTAACAACATAGCTGGTGTCATAGGCCTGATTGCCGGTCTAGCGGATGGGATAGCCCTCGGGGTGAAAGA